TGGTGCATTAATAGAATATAATGCATTTTTAACAATGAAGATCTTGTTCATTGAAAAAGAGTACTCAGAATTTGAGTATCTTATTGGGCTAGAGTATATTTTTGTTGAGTACCAACATCAGTGACAATTATGTTATTAATCATTCTGATGGAAGTGAACATGTTTGAGTTTACCTGTGTTTCATATGGTATCAGGAATGTCAGGAGAAAAAGGAGAAGACTGAAATTTTATCTTAGAAATTCAGATTTGGTATGGAAGAAGTAGTTTAAAGAAAAATGGTTGAGTTCACTCTTCACTAAGACTTTTTCACTGCCATTATTGTATTCCAATTAGTGTATAGGAGTTACAACAACATACAGCAGGATGTTTTAATTGTAAACATTTAGTGTCTAAAAATACTAAAAGTATCTAAAAGTGTTACAACTGATTTCAAGCAGTGTTATAAAGTTGTATTCTAATTGGATGCACTATTGACTGAAACACCCACAATTATGTCAACAAAGAATATGTAAGATTTCGTAGAGAGATAAAATCTGCAAGGAATGTGTATAATTTTAACCTCTCCCCCTCTACATTCGGAGCAGTCTGTTCTTATTAGGATTGTGGAGCAATTTTTTTTAAGCACTCCCTAATCTCAGAGAAATGTTACTTTTCTTTGCAATATTCCAACTTTCTATTTTAGCAATTTAAATAAAAAACAATTCCCAAGAAAATCCAATTTCTCCCAAACATGATGATGATGATAGGATTTGGGCTACAGTTCCTCTTGAATCAAAGTATGCACAATTGTCTGCAAGCAACTTTTAGCCAGCATAGCCAAGAACCTGTTGCACTTTGGCCAGCCATTTCTTCTGCTATGCTACACCTTGTTCTGAAACTGAGCATCAGGAACATCTGTATCTCTATGGCTACAGGAAAAAAAGATCTATTCTTTAGGGCAGGGGTCCCCAACCACCAGGCCGCGGACCGGTACCGGTCCGTGGAACATTTCCTACCGGGCCGCCGGTTTGCTGGGCGCCGCCATCTTGTTTGACGAGAAAGTGCTTCCGGGTGAGCTTTTCTGGTTGGAAAGCGGTGTTTGGGTCCTGAAGGAATCCTTGCGCCTTAGTTTCATCGAGGGGGGGGGGGCTTCGAATGAAACTAAGGCGCGAGGATTCTTTCAGCACCCAAGGCAAGGCGAGCCGAGTGACCGTCCTGAAGCCGTCCCGAAGCGAAGCCCATCGACAAAGGTACAAAGGAGGAGTTGAAGGTGGCGGGGAGAAGCAGGGGACGGCTGGCTGGCTGGTCGCTCGACTCGCCTTGCCTTGTCATGCATGCTGATGCCGGTACCGGGCTGCGGATCATTTTGTGATGCCGGTACCGGGCCGTGGCACAAAAAAGGTTGGGGGCCACTGCTTTAGGGAGTACTTTGTCTCCCAAGGTACTGATTTTTTCCACAAGTTAAATGTTTAGTCCATCTGCTGTTTAGTATTAACAAAAGCTAATGTGAAGAAACCATACCAGTAATTGAAAAGGAAGGCAAAAGTAATAACCAATTTTATCATCCTAACCTCAAAAATGCATAGGTATAGGGAGATATGTAGCCATCAAACAAACCTCTGCAACTTGGGCTAAAGGCTATGACAGATCTAGATGAAATCTTTTAAGTATTAAAGTGCCAAGAATCACACTGACAAAGGTAAATGTTTTTTCCCACTTGTAACATGGCTTTGAAAGCTAGACTGTCAAATGTGCCTAAATTAAGAAAAAAAAATATGGTTGCTACGGAAACATTTGCAAAGGTAATTGTAACAAAATGCATTGAGGAACTTGGGTAAGATAGAGGGCAAGAATGTTTTGTAAAGTTGAAGCATAAAAAAGATTAAATTGGTATGTTCTACCGTGTGTATTTTTGAATAACTGGAAAATGTACATTTGATAAGGACGTTGAGAATATCAGTTAAAAATTATTTTTTCTATTATTTCCTCTCTCACACACATGCATAGGCATTATGATCCTAAAACAATACTGAGAGTTAAACAATACTGAAGACTCATCTCCCATAGTGAGACTTAGTGATTATTGGTATTTCCTGGTATCAAAGTCTAATTTAGGTGTATTAAATGTTAAAAGTCTTTGACCCAGAACAATCTGCTTGTGCTCAATAAATTGTTTAATTATTATTTCAGTTAGCAATCCGTCCAGTACATGCAGTCAATCACAGGGTTCCATTCAAGAGTTGGAAGAGTACAATAGCTCTATTTGGAAGTGATCAAAATTGTGATCTCCTTTATTTAAGAGGTCTGCTTTATCCAGGGGTATCAAACTCGCATCGTCACACCGACATCATATGACATATCACAATTTTTTTCCTTTGCTAAACCAAATGTGGGCATGGCCAGTGCGTGATGCATTTGGGTCGCAGGCTGTGAGTTTGACAACCCTGGCCTTATCTGTCATGGTACCTGACCTACAGAACATACTATAAAATTTGGATAGACCCAACCCTGTTGGCCTTCTGTAAGGCCTTGAAAATCTGTCTTACCTGAGCATTGGGTCAGGTCAGAATGTTAGCCAAACTTAGGCTGTAATGATTGGGAATGATAACTGTATTCCAAATCATTATAGCATAAGTAATTGGTCTCAGTTGTACTATGTTCTAATTTTCTTATTTTTCTCTGTTTTAACCCTGTTTTACCTGATCAGTGTCACAATCCTCAAGTTGTATAGCCATATAAAATGATAAAGTAGATGAATAAATAAACTGAGGTGATGGGTTGGGGGAGGACATTAGATTCAATTATCTATGTACATGTTAGAATCTTAAGCCAGAAGATTAGAGACCTAGAATTAACTTATGATAGTCCTTATAAAATCTAAGGCAGGGGTGTCAAACTCACATTGTCACAATGGCATCACATGACATATCGGAATTCCCTCCCCACCTTCGCTAAACTGGGTGTGGGTGTGATGCAGCCTGCCTGAGTTTGACAGCCCTGATCTAAGAAAACAAATTGACTATCTTGTTTTTATTATCTAGTAATTATATAGCTAGTAGCATTTTCTTTCCACCTAATTTTTTATAATATGTCCTGTTGCTGTTTTATGGACCCATGCCATGAAGGGCTTTATAGGTAATAACACTTTGAAGTGGACCCAGAAGCAAACTGGCAGCCAGTTCACCTCGTGTAAGATTTATGATTTAAACTAGTGTATTACAATATTTGACTTATAACTCTAACGGAGGCTGGAATTTGTAAGTCATGATGGTTGTAAGCTGAGACACCAATGTAGAATAGAATACAGTTAGAAGGGACCTTGGAGGTCTTCTAGCCCAACCCTGATTAGGCAGGAAACCCTACACCACTTCAGACAAATGGTTATCCAAACTCTTCTTAAAAACTTCAAGTGTTGGAGCATTCATAACTCTTCTTAAAAACTTCAAGTGTTGGAGCATTCATAACCTTTGGAGGAAGTTGTTCCACTGATAAATGTAGCCAGACTCAATTTTATAATTTTATTTTTGCAGGGGTTAGGGTTAGGATTTTGCCAGAAACTGCCAAAAAAGAAATTGCAGTTACTCTACTACAGAATGCTACAACTGGTGGTAAAGGCAAGTGGTTTCCAAGCAAAGTCATTTGACTGCAGGAGTGTTGAACTGGATCATAAGATCACTATAACTTTGAAGTCAGTAAGCATTATTTAAGCAAGAACTACCAGTATGTTCTTCCTGCAAATTTGCTCCTTTAGTGGAACGAAGGCAATGCATCTGAACAGTAATAGCCTTATGAAGATGTTTTAGGTGAGTTAATTCAGCAATCCTAGAATAAGTACAGGTAGTCCTCACTTATGACAATTGAGCCCAATATTTCTGTTACTAAGTGAGACATTTGTTAAGTGAGTTTTGCCCCATTTTGTGAGCTTTCTTACCAGAGTTGTTAAGCGAATAACTGCAGTGGTTAGTAACAGTTAAGTGAGACTGCCTTCCCCATTGATTTTGCTTGGCAAAAGGTGGCAAAAGGTGATTGCATGACCCAGGGACACTATATCTGTTATAAATATGAGTCAGTTACCAAGCATTTGAATTTAGATCACATGATCATGGAGATGCAGCAATGTTCACAAGTGTGAAAAATGGTCATGTCACTTTTTTCAGTCCTGTTGTAACTTCGGTCACTAAATGAACTGTTGTAAATTGAGGACTGCCTATGTGTGTAAACAACTTACACTGACTGTGACCTCAGGTAAAACCATTCGGTGGTTTAATGAAAAACAAAACAAAACACTTGGGCCAACGTCCCCAAACTTGGCAACTTTAAGACTTGTGGACTTCAACTCGCAGAATTCTCCAGCCTTCTGGGAGTTGAAGTCCACAAGTCTTAAAGTTGCCAAGTTTGGAGACCTTTGACTTAGGCTGTAATCTATGGCTTTAACATCTTCACCCCACATGCTGAATCGAGAACCACACTGCGATTCAGCGTTTCACGACGGCAAGGTAAGCCATGATTTCCAGTCGCGCCCCCCACCCTCGGTCCCTCCCGTCAATCCCAGTCGGTCCTTTCCAATTCCAAAACTGGGACCGCTGGTATGAGAACGTTGTGCGCATGCGTGAGTGGCTGTCGACTGAGCTCAAGGCAGGCAAAGACAGGCATCTCTACGGGAAATGAGAAGCCGCAGGCCCAGCCGACTGACGTTTCTTCTCCTCGCTCCGAGTCGCTTCCAATACAACCCGGCCGCCAACCATCCCGCAGGTTATTTCTTCCTTCAAAGCGCTGGGAATGGCCGGAACGCACCAACCCACGAGCCTTCTACCTTATAACGACGCCGCGGAGCAATTCCAGGCGAAGGAAGGCGTGCCCCACCCCTTTCGCTTTGGCCAATGGCTTTTCCGTGTTGCGGAGGCGGCTCAAGACTCGGTTGGCCGCCCAATAAAAATCAAAAGCGGGAGGTGACCGATAAGAGCTCGGGCCAATAGAAGTGGAGAGCCGTCGGCAACGTGATCCTTTCGCGCGGGCTCGGATTGGGTGACCGGAAGCAGGGAGGGGAAGATGGCGGAGTGAAGGGGAAGAAGTGGAGCGAGAGCTGCTGCGGGCTGCGGCCCCAGCCGGGGTAAGAGAGCGGGGAAACCCAAGCGCCGCGGCGGAGGGGGCGGCGAGCACCGGGGCCTTGTTGGACAGAAGCCCGACTCGGTGCAAGGAGTTGTTTTGGCCCGGCTCATTCGCGGGGTGAACGGGGACCTGCGCCCAGTGTGTGCCCACCACTATCGCGCGCGCCTCTTGATTAGAAGAAGTTCCAGGATTCTGGAACCGACCTTGAGCTCTTCTTCCGACCTAGGCTCGAAACGGCTCCCTGCTGCTTTCCTCCCTCCCTCCCTGGTTTAGGGTGCCACCTATAATGGGCGCCAGCGGGGTGATAGTATCCGAAAGGCGCAGCTTTTTGCTTCTGCTGGAGCTGGAAGGGGAGAGCGGAGATTGGTTAAACGCGGCGCTTTTCGGGTGCCACCGAGCTCTGCGACTGAGAAGGAAGGCACCGCTAGCCTTTCCCACTAGAATGGCTAATGAAAGCCAGAATGTTTTTTTAGGGGGTGGGGGAAGAGTTTCTGTTGGGCCGCGAACATTACGGTTGTAATGGAGGCTCGATCCAGGTAGTCCTCGACTTACAACCGTTCCTTTAGTGACCAAAGTTACAACAGCATTGAAAAAAGTGACATGACCGTTGTTTTCCCACACTGACGACCGTTGCAGTAGCCCCATAGTCATGCGATCAAAAGGTTTGGCAATTTATGAAGGTTGTCTTGGAATCTTGCGATCACCTTTTGTGACCTTCCCATGACCCAAGTCAATGGGGAAGCCAGATATGCTTCACAACCATGTTACTAACTTATCATCTGTGGTGATTCCTTTTAACAGTGAGAGGCACGAAAGGTCGTAAAATAGGGCAAAACTCACTTAATGTTTCAGTTAGCAACAAAAATATTGGACTCAGTTGTGGTCGTAAGTCGAGAACTACCTGTACTTGGTTTATTGGTTATAGATACATCGCTATATAAAACTCCAGATTTTCTTCTGGCTCCTGCTTTCATCTCTACAGAGTCTAGGTTCGCAGGAAGGCTGTAGTTGAGACTTCTTGTCCTGCCCCAGAGTTTTTTTTCTGTCCATTTTTTTCTTGCCAAATTGATACATTTTTTTTTGCTCGTGGCATTTTGTATAGTGACCCATCTCTTACTTTAATATTGCCAAAAGTGGGCTGTCCCTTTATTTTAAGAAACTGGATTAGTGGCTATTCTTTTGTTTTCCCTGGATTCAGAATTACACTTGGTTACATGCCCTCTGGTATTTTGGGAATTCAAATTTAGGATGGGAATGGGTAGGAGGGCAAAATGTAGGCAGATATATTTTTCCAACTGATATTTCAATGTTATGTCAGTGTTTTTCCATTTTGAATTCCTCTTTTCAATTTAGTTTCTAGTGATATATGCATATTTGTAAGAGTAACTGGTTTTTTTTTTAAAAAATAGGAATAAAAGAGCAATGGTAGGAACAATGAGCTTATGAAGTCGGTAATGACTAGTTTTAGAAAATGCTGAGACATCTAGGGAATAGATCTTTTTGGATGTACCAGTAATAGAGAATTGTTAGACAATTCTGCAGATGGCTGGGGATTGAATTTCAAATAGATTCATAGGCAATGTATTCATTAGCACCTACTCTGAAAGCAGCTGCATCTATTGGAGTAGATATTTTTAATGAGTACTTCTGAGTTTTATTTATTCAGCTGCTGAAATATTGAATTAAAGGGACAGATGCGGAGAAACAGGGGACTTATATGCGAAGTTATTTTTATTAGCCTTACTAATGAAACAAAATTGTAGTTGTGGTGTTTTTTTTTTTTCATTCTGGGGGATTAGATCAGTAGAGAATATTCTAGATTAGGCTCTTTCCTTGAAGGCATGTGATTACTTTTAAGAGATGGCACTTATCTCCAAATTAGATCCCCCCCCCCCCAAGATATGACAAGCATGGCACCCAGCTGGGAATTGGTGCCTGAAAATGTCTTGAATTCCTCTGAATAGTTTTGTTGGAGTCTTATGACTTTTCCAAAGAACTCACAAAATAGGGTGACCTGACAGAAATGCTGCATAATAATAAATTTTATATTTTCTATTAGCTGAAAGATTTTCAAATGAACCATTTGAAAAAAAAATAGTTAAAGTACAACTTATGTAGCTTAAATATTTTATTCAAAACAGTCAAGAGTATGACATTGCTTTTAATATAAAATATGAAGGGGCTGAATATTTGTATTCAGAATGTAGTAATTTTAGTGATACTCTAGGCGTATTATAAATATATTTCATAAGTTAAGTCATGGAGGGATTTAACTTTGAAACTGGTCAATATGACACATGTGTATTATGGTGGTATTTATAATGAATAAATATTTCTTTAAAAATTTAAATAGGCTTTTTGTAGAATAATACAAGTGGACAATTTTCTGTTTTCTGTTACTTGTTGGGCACAAAAATCTCAAAAAGGACCATCCTGGTGAACTAGTGTAGTATAACAGGTTGATGGACAAAGACTGGGGAGGCCCAAATTCTAATCTACTCTCAGGCAGAAAATTAACTAGATGATTTGAGGCCAGTTATTATTCAGTGATATTGAACTTCTGAAGGAAAGACGGGATATAAAATTGATAATATTGTAATTATAACATCCCACTCTAAACACTGTGCTTTTTGGGGTCCTAATCTAGTAAAGCATTTAGGGAGGAATAGTTAATGGTAACTTTGTTACTAAATATCTATAAGGCTTAAGGATGTGTATCTATTTTTCCCAATAGTTTACATTTTAGTGTAGGGATTTATTTGTTAGTTTTATATGCTACTGTTCTTTCAAGAGTTCAATATGGCAAACATAACATTTCCTTCTCCAGTTTTCCCCAAATTTAAAGGTGGGCTTCAGAGACCAAGAATGTACTTGCACTGGGAACTAGAACTCCACCACTCCCAGTGCTGCTTTTTAATTACCGTATATACTCGAGTATAAGCCGAGTTTTTCAGCCCATTTTTTTGTGCTGAAA